ATGGATGGTGCTCAGCCTCGGGACAGATGAGGAGCCAGCTGAGAGCTTATGGGCCAGGGCAGATCACCGAGGGCAACATCGCGGTGGTTGTATACTGCAGGCCACCTGATCGGGAAGCAGCAGATGAGGCCTTCTTCAGACAACTGGAAGAAGCCAGGTGATAATTGATACGTCTTTCTCTCCAGAATAGCAGTGTTCAAGTGCTCAGCTTTTCCTGTAGACATTAAACAAGGTGGAAATGGATCTTGTAGCGAGAAACTCTGCCAAGATCCTTGCTATCTGACACTTGGTTTAGATAGCAAGAAATTGTCACAATGTCAAGTTCTAGCACCATGGCCATCATATGTAAGGATATGCAGCAGTGTAGCAAGGCATGAAATTTCAAACTATGCAGTTTCATACAACTGCCATGATAACAAACTATGCAGCTTATTTAAGAATGGAAACTCACTTGTACCTTATCCTATGACACAGTACAGCGAAGTGGGTACTGAAAATTGCTGAGAAATTTTAACAACTAACAGAAAGGAAATGGATTCCAAACCGTACTCAAGCGGAAGAGCACACTTTAGAACATATGTTAGTACAAAAGATGCATGCATATGTAAGAAAAAAGGGGAAGTTAAAGGAAATTTAAAAATGCCTTTCGCAGTCATCAAGCCAAAACGCGCATCCGTGATAGCATTTTGTTCAGTCAGGACTGCACTTTTGCTGCAGATCTGATGGTTCTGACAGTTCTCATGTCCCACTGGTTTATACCGTGGGGGAGTCAGGGAGTGAATACAGTGGATTCCTCCTGGATGAAACTGAACTAAGAAATGGGCTCCAAGAATGCATTTATTTCATCAAAACTGCAAATATGTTTTAAGTCCACAGGATGAGATTAGAGTTGGTCCAAACTAAAATGTCCTAGATCTGTGTAGTATAAGCAGCAGAACTTTAGCACCAGGTATATCACTCTATAAACCCACCCTTTTCACCTCACCTTACCTCCTAACATAGACATACCTAAAGACTTCCCAGAACTACAACTGGAAGAGATTAATATCAAGCTGTCCCCCCTGATAAATCATGTGTTTGGAGATCATTTGAAGCTACTGATAAGTCTTTTGCTGCACAGGTAGTATTGTGACAGCATGTATTTCACTGAAATTACAACTCATTCACTGTAATCCAAGGTGAAAAATCTGAGTAAAGAAAACAGTGAAATGCTTGCTTTGCTAAGAATTGTCAGGTAGGACACAGTGGAATGAAGGACAGTAAGGGATCATGATATATTCTCAAAGGACCACAGTGTCTGAAGAATCACATTGGAGGCAGTCCCTGCTCAAAGGAAAACTTGAATTCATTGCCACCTCTAG